ACAAAGTATCGTATATTTTTCATTTAAAATTAATCAGTAATCGGAATAAGTGAATACTTAAAATAATATCGATTAAATTTACAGATTATTGTCTATGACTCACAGGTTACAACACTGATGTGTCAGAGACAAGTCATAGACAATATGGAGATAACACATGATTTTAAACGTCAAGTCAATTTGACAAGTCTCACAAATTTTCATCGTCCACGTATTTTTTGTTTCAAAGATTGATTTCAAACTTATATAAACATGAAAATAAAGTTGGTTTCATGGGCTTGTTAAATATTGTGCATGATATTATGAACACGTAAGTGATTATGGTGTAATTGTGTATGAAAGTGTTTGTTTACATCTCTGCTGGATTCTAAAAAATCAAGGTATAGGTAATGTTATGACTCGCGAATATATTTTTTAACCTACTTTATGAAATAGGTACTAGTTTTTGATCGCGGCTTCATCCACGACGATATCAGTCTGTCGCGGAAAAACGCTAGCGCGCTGAAAGCCGAGATAAAAAATTGTCCTACGTTTTTCTCTGGGTCTCAAACTCTAACGAACCAGAAGATACGAACCAGACAGAGTTCCTACTCTTGTATTTATAATAATTAGCACGTACTCTACCGCCCGTATTCACAAACATTACTATGAGGTCTCACAGTGCGCGTGGACGCACAGGGTGACACACGAACCAATCACAGAGCTATATTCAACGCTGTGCGTTCAATTTGCTGCTTCACTCCGTTTGTGAATACGGGCGTACATCACATAAGATAGTATTATAAAACAGCCTGTAAGCGATGAAATGAAAAATAAATAGATATTTTATACGCTGACTTTATGAATGGCTGTATCTGCTATCTTCGACGGACAGACGTCATAGATTTTTTATGAGGTCGTAACGACAGGCATTATTATAAATTTGATGCCGATGGCATAGTTCAACGCGGGCCTAAGTACATAATGTGCTCCCAGGTTCGACAATAAGTGACAAATGATTTATGAATGGAAATAATTTTACCCTTAGTCACGTTGAAACAAAATGGGGGGAAACTATATAGTTAAGAAATACGTTCAAGTTATTTTTGAAGCTATAGATATCCCATTTTAAGGAATAGGTAATTTCATAGTCTACTAACAAACTAAATAAGTGTTCTGATCTCTAGGCGCTCTGACAGGTCAGTCCAAATTAAAGAATAGGTGAGCAGCTTTATGTTAGTAAACAATAGAAGTAGGTTGTTACTCGTAAGTAGGTACATTACAATACCGATCGCGATTTTAGTAGATAATTTCAATAAAAAGCATCTGTGAGCGTGCTAGCTTTAACATTGCTGCATTGTAAGACCGTCCAGCAGTTTTTGCACGAATTAGTAACAAACATCCATCCATTCTACCAAACTTTATAATATTAGTATTACAAAGTCCCTAGAAAATCTACCCTAAATTCATCACAAGCATTAGTTCAAACCATTTAACTAATCTACTCGTATTTGACCCGACATAAAGCTGCGAAAATACAAGCACAAGACACTTATTTTTGTTTCGTCTAACGAAAAATAGATTACGTACGCCTCCCACAATAGAATAATAGGAATTCCCAGGAAAAGTACATTTACAGGCAGACAAAAACGGAAAAAATGGGTTTGTCATACACCCCATACATAACGCACTTTGACATGAGTGCTCGTACGCCAACGATATAGCAAATAAATAGCGCAATATGTTGTCGAGTTAAAAATACCGTGCAGCTATATGGGTGTTGGAATGCTTTTTTTCTGAATGAAGAATTATTTTGATAATAAAGGTACTGCGAACGAACTAAGTACGAAATTATTTATCAAAGTGATCACAGCAGTAGGCCCGGTTTCTGAATGAGGGTTTTCACGTATGAAAAATCCGCCAGATGGCAATACGTAGACGCAAGGTCCAAGTGCTGCACGATTGGTTATTTTTGACATGACATTGACAGATATGTCAAAATCCACCAATCACGCAGCAGTCAGACCCCACATCAACGTCCCGCCATCTAGCGGATCTTTCATACGCGAAAACCCTCATTGAGATTTTCAGCTTGAGCGTACTCATCTTTTACTCAAGTTTAGGGCTGAGTGCACCATCTTACTTTGGCTTAAACAAACGCACAGTATGTTATGAGACTGTATAATCGGACATTCTCATTTATTTGATGAACCGTATAGAGCTCAGTTATACAAACATGATAGTAAAACTCCCGTTTGAAAATTCCAAGTAGTTTTCGCGGTATAAAAATTCAAAGTTACCTATTTTTTTACTTCAAAATTATGCAAAAATATTCTCACTCGTTAACTAATAACATTTAATTCAGAATTGTTATAATACTTCATAGAGCTCTTAAAACTACACGTAATAAGCGTATTAAGTGCTTCGTAAACGCATTCAGTTAATTAGGAAAAATGATTTTAGTGATTTTTGTTTTTATTTTTTTTCTCAATTATACCTTAATATATGCAAACATTTTTAATTGCAAGATATAGTCTGATATTTAATCTGATTGTATAAAAAAAATCAGCCTTAAATTCCGTGATATGTTTGAGGAAAATCAAATTGAAAATATGCGAAATATAGAATTGTAAATTTCCCATCACTTTTTAATAGCAATATTTCTTTTGGATGTTTAAATATCATCAGCTCGATTGTGCCAAATTATTGTATTGACATTCGATTTACATAGGTTTCAAATCGATGAGATAATTATTAAAGGTAGGCTAAATTCGACTTCCTAGATTTGTTTACATACTTTTTTAGTTAGTTACTTACATACAACTTAAGTTAATATAAGAGTGTTAAAAAAGAAAAAAGACTCGACTTGAGAACCTCCTCCTTTTTTTGAAGTCGGTTAAAAACAATGTGAATGTGACTTTTTAGAACCTTCAACACTATGCACATAACAGGCGGGATTTGAAACTTTTTAGACATGAATTATTCCTTCCAAAATTGTCGACCCTAGACGCGTAAAAATTTTATTAAGACGTTTTATGTTTTTTCTCAAATATATCACGGAGTTTAAAGCTGATTTTATTAATACAATTAGATTAAATATCAGACTATATCTTGCAATTAAAAATGTTTGCATATATTAAGGTATAATTGAGAAAAAAAATAAAAACAAAAATCACTAAAATCATTTTTCCTAATTAAGTGAATGCGTTCACGAAGCACTTAATACGCTTATTACGTGTAGTTTTAAGAGCTCTATGAAGTATTATAACAATTCTGAATTAAATGTTATTAGTTAACGAGTGAGAATATTTTTGCATAATTTTGAAGTAAAAAAATAGGTAACTTTGAATTTTTATACCGCGAAAACTACGTGGAATTTTCAAACAGGAGTTTTACTATCATGTTTGTATAACTGAGCTCTATACGTTTCATCAAATCAATGAGAATGTCCGATTATACAGTCCCATAACACACTGTGAAACGTCTAAAATCTGTCAAACTCCATACCAAAAGCATCGGTTATTGCTAAAGGCACAGACGCCTAGAATATGACCTCTAAACATACTTTTTCACTACTTCTGTCCATGCAATTATACACCAATGATGACGCACCTATAATACCTGCATAGTATGCATTATTATGGATTCCAAATCTTATGAATAAAATCTCCCATGAAATCTGTACAGCGACCCAAGACATATTAATAAGCTCGAATGATTAAATATTGAACCCCTACGAGGAGATTATATTACACGCGCGAAAATTAAAGCTTGCCATTTCCATAAGACAATATTGTACAACCTACAAAGTAACCGAAGCGTCTCTATAAATTAAAATCATTGATAAAGTGGAGTTTTTAAGTATGACTACTGTTTGTCGGCGGCTTCGCTTATTTTTTAATGTCGGTGAACCCGGGTTTAGTTCCCAAATGTGAAACAAAAAAATTAAAAAACCCACATTTTTGGTTGAACTTTAGAGTCATGTTGAAGGCTAAATGTGCGAAAGAGAAAGATAAGTTAGTTTACCAAATGGCGGCATTAGAGTAGGCGCACACCGTTGATTTTTCGTCGGCCGATAGTTTAATCGGGCTGTTAATCAGTATGGGCATGTATGAGAGTGCGCACACTACGCCGATTCGATTTGGCCGATTCTTCATACAATTTGAAATCGGGCACAACTATCGGCCAACTAAAAATCAACGGTGTGCGCCTACTCTTAACATTCAACAAGACCTTAAGCAATAGCGTTTAGTCAAAATTCGTCAGTGACAGTATCAAGTCACAACATATTAATAGTGCATGGCTGACTTTACACATGAGACATGTTGGGGCTAGCATAACCATATTTCGTGGCCGCCACGCCACCAACACAATCAATTATTCAGAAAACAACGCTGTAAGCCTATACGTGCAATTAGCTAAATCAACGCGTATTGTGACGATGTACGGGGCACAGTGCACTAGCTATCGTAGTAAGCTACATTTGCTAGCAGTTGCTAGAAAAATATAATAAAGGATTCTCTTGCCTAGCAGTTTCTAGAATAGAACGGTCCTAGACTCCGTCTCTACCACATCGTCCACATGATATTTTTACGGATTGGAAAACCAACCGACATTGTCGCGACTTCAAATCAAATTCTTTGAGTGCATTACCGCAGCAAAATTTTTATAAATGTTGTGCTTTAGAGAGTCGAGAGTATAGCAGATAATTAGTCCATCGTGAGCAGAAATTTGTCCACTAATAGCAAAATTCGTTCAAATTATAGTTTTAAAGTTATTAGGAAAAAACAGATTTAATGTTTGAAACATTACCCTGGCAAAATTTTTTTTTGAAAGTCGTTCTATCCCGGAACCAAATACATGGATAGATAGCTTTTGTTGCGTAGTAATTTGTCCACGAATAGCAAAATTTGTTCGTGTTCCGGTTTTCAAGTTATTCAGAATTTTGCTGGGGTAATGTTTTGTGATGTCCCAGATCTCGTAAATGGCTCAACGCAGAAGTTAAAAAAAAATACCAATGATAGACCTTGATATGTCCAAATTAGTTCAAGCATTAGTCATTGATTTGAATGATAAACACCAGTGTAATTAAATGATTTCGAAAATCAGATAAAACGGATTTGTGAGTAAACCAGTACTCTTACAATCGAATAAAAAGGTGTAGCATGTACCCTTGGTATACCTTTATAACCACAGTAAATATAAATGATGTGGCTTTGCGCAAAAGAGAGATTTCAAGAAATTTAATTTATTTTAACAGTCTTACTTTCGTGGCCGAATACGCAATTCCCTTATAACAAGGGAACATGGCATACAATGGACAAATTAAAATGTTCCTTGAATAAGCTATCCTGTTAATTTCAGCTTTATATTACGGCTTATAAGAAAGTTATCGGACTGCAAAAAAATATCAGGAATTCTTCTATAAGCCGACCAAATTATAAAGGTCACAAAAAAGCGATCACTCCATACATACAGGTATACTTCGCAAATTAGTAGCTTAGCTGTCAATGTTTTGTACAGTTATGTGGAATATTGTAATACGTGCAAACGATTTTTAAATATTAAATTTCTAATCAGTCTCCATCGTCCTTCCACCATGCGTTTTTTTTTTCAAAAATAATGTCTAAAGTCTGTAGCTAAAGGTCTACGCTGCAAGATGGAAGAATCTTCTAACCAAAAAGATGGCAGATGCAGCAGATGTCAACGGATTTAAAACTGGAGTTCATGTGACTCCTTGTAGACTTGAGTGTCTAGAGCGTCCCTTACTCCACCATGCGTAAGAATTTTCACAAAAATACTGTCTAAGGTCTGTAGCTAAAGGTCTACGCTGCAAGATGGAAGAATCTTCTAGCCAAAAAGATGGCAGATGCAGCAGATGTCAACGGATTTAAAACTGGAGTTCATGTGACTCCCTGTAGACTTGAGTGTCTAGAGCGTCCCTTCTGTAGCATAAGACATAAATTAACTATTGAATTATGAATTATTAAATAATGTATTAAAATATGGATAAAATGTATGAATGAAACGACTTTCTTTCAGCTGTCAAAATGAAGAAGTGATTTTATTTTGTTTTGTAAGAAAAAGTAAAAAAAAACATTAAAAACTCCTTTGTTGATTCTCAACACCTTCCTCCACCATGCGTAAAAAATTTCACAAAAATACTGTCTAAGGTCTGTAGCTAAAGGTCTACGCTGCAAGATGGAAGAATCTTCTAACCAAAAAGATGGCAGATGCAGCAGATGTCAACGGATTTAAAACTGGAGTTCATGTGAATCCTTGTAGACTTGAGCGTCTAGAGCGTCCCTTCCTCCACCATGCGTAAGAATGTTTCAAAAATACTGTCTAAGGTCTGTAGCTAAAGGTCTAAGCTGCAAGATAGAAGAATCTTCTAGCCAAAAAGATGGCAGATGCAGCAGATGTCAACGAAGGTCTGTAGTAAAAGTCTAAGCTGCGAGATAGAAGAATCTTTTAGTCAAAAAGATGGCAGATGCAGCATATATCAACGGATTTAAGACTGGACTGGCACCACCTTGCAATGTCATCCTCTCATTGTTATGTGTAATGTAAATTATTTTTAAAATGTATTTAAAAAATAAAATGTTCGTTTTATTATTTCAATAATCTGACCTCTCAACTCAACACAACACCTTTGTTCGCAACTGTACTGACGAAAGCTCGATATCATACCGTTGATTTAAGATGGCAAGCCTTATGTATGGAACGGTCGCTTTTTTGTGACCTTTATAATTTGGTCGGCTTATAGAAGAGTTCCGGATATTTTTTTGCAGTCCGATAACTTTCTTATAAGCCGTAATATAAAGCTGAAATTAACAGGATAGCTTATTCAAGGAACATTTTAATTTGTCCATTGTATGCCATGTTCCCTTGTTATAAGGGAATTGCGTATTCGGCAACGAAAGTAAGACTGTTAAAATAAATTAAATTGTTTGAAATCTCTCTTTTGCGCAAAGCCACATCATTTATATTTACTGTGGTTATAAAGGTATACCAAGGGTACATGCTACACCTTTTAATTCGATTGTAAGAGTACTGGTTTACTCACAAATCCGTTTTATCTGATTTTCGAAATCATTTAATTACACTGGTGTTTATCATTCAAATCAATGACTAATGCTTGAACTAATTTGGACATATCAAGGTCTATCATTGGTTTTTTTTTTAACTTCTGCGTTGAGCCATTTACGAGATCTGGGACATCACAAAACATTACCCCAGCAAAATTCTGAATAACTTGAGAACCGGAACACGAACAAATTTTGCTATTCGTGGACAAATTACTACGCAACAAAAGCTATCTATCCATGTATTTGGTTCCGGGATAGAACGACTTTCAAAAAAAAATTTTGCTGGGGTAACGTTTCAAACATTACCCCAGCAAAATCTGTTTTTTCCTAATAACTTTAAAACTATAATTTGAACGAATTTTGCTATTAGTGGACAAATTTCTGCTCACGATGGACTAATTATCTGCTATACTCTCGACTCTCTAAAGCACAACATTTATAAAAATTTTGCTGCAGTAATGCACTCAAATTCTTTTGATTTGTAATTTAATTGTTAGGTAATTTTAATTTAATTCGTTTCAGCCGAAAGACGTCCACTGCTGGACAATGTCATGTCCCAAAACATTAAGGATTAGTAGCACCATCTTACTTTAACAAACGTAAAAAATCTGTCAAACTCCATACAAAAAGCACCGGTTATTGTTATAGTTACGGTTAAATTAAGTTGGTGCAACTCAGCCTAAGAAAACAGCATACTTCATCAACAATACCGCGCGACCTTGTTCACTGCACACAAACGAATCTTTATTTTTCTCGTTCGTGTTAATTCATATCAAATTTGCATAACAAACTGGGAAAGAGAAGTCATACAATGAACCACTCTCCCAGTAATTATGAGGGCGAATAAAACGTCAGACCCCAATGAAACTCTTCGAGACGTTTTATTTTTCAACTTTTAATTAATTTGTTTAGTTTCTTAATGAATACGAGAAATTCTCGTTAACATTTTTTAAGAGTTTATCCAGAAACTAACTTGGAATCTGGGAACGATATTTATAGGTTTTTTTAGTTAGGAAGGTAATTTGGTTGGACGCGCTTTTCTCAGGAACTACAGGTCTGCTTTGAAAAAATATTTCTTTATTTATAGATTTATCGAGGAAGGCTTTAGGCTAGATTTATATAACATTACCCTACAGCTAATAGGGGCGGAGCAGTAAAGAAAAATGTAACAAAAACGGGTAATATTATTCAAACTATACTCAACATCAAATAAACCGCACCTTCCGCGACGCGAACTTTAACGATTTTCTTCCGACACAATCATGGTGCCCCAACAATATTGGTGTTATTTGACACATAAAGACACATTTTTGGAGTAAAAACCTTTCCTTTAATGAAATGAAGGTTAGAGCTAGGCTTTTAAATGGTGCCAATATTGGTGGGAAGTGGGGATGCATACGTTTGAAAATGCTTGTCGCGGGAGGTAGGTACGATTTATTTAATGTCGAGTGACTCGAGTGTATTTTCACGCGTACGAAGTCGCTGGTGTCCCAATTAAATTCTTAAATTGTTCTAATGGAAAGAAAATAAAAAGGAATTCTTTATCCAAAAATGCACGGTCAGCAAATTACACAATGCCACGAAAGCATGACTAATGATGTAGTGACTTCTTAAATATTGGATGTGTCAATATTAGATGCCTTATCATTATTAATTTACTGCGCCTTTCTTTAGTCTTTTTTGTGTGTTTACTTTTGTACTTAGAACTTTTGTATTTATTAGATAAAGAAGTATTAAAAATACGCACAATGTGCCAGAAGACACAACTACTATTATTGCAATACTCTGGGTTCATGTTATGAGTCTATGTATATTATGTAAGAACCTTTGTACGAGGGCTGCACTAAAAGTATCGGGAATGGAATATTTACACTGTTCCTATCATATTAAAATATTTTTAATTGCAAACTCCTTGGTTTTAAGCATCGAATACCATTTATTTATTTAAAAAAAGATTCTCGGTCTTATCACAAGGTCTTGTGAAACTTGTTTAGTCGTTGAGAAAATGGAATTGACTCGAGAAAATTCAAGAGCGATGATTTATTATGACTTTCGGAGTGGTTTAACACAAAAACAGTGTGTTGACCGGATGATTTCTGCATTTGGTAATGAAGCCCCATCCAAAACCATAATTTATCGCTGGTTTGCTGAATTTCAACGTGGACGTGTCAAGCTCAGTGATGGTCCCCGTCAAGGTCGTCCAAAAACTGCAGTCACCCAAGAAAACGTTGATGCTGTGCGTAAGCTGATTGAAGAAGATCGACATGTGACATACCGCGAAATTCAGGCAACTTTAGACATTGGCATGAGTCAAATACAAATAATCTTGCATGAACAATTAGGTGTAAAAAAGTTGTTTTCCCGATGGATACCGCATTCGCTCTGTGAAGAGCAAAAAGCGGCTCGCGTTACTTGGTGCGTCAGAACTCTCGGAAGATTACATGCAGGATCCTCAAATGCTGTATACAACATCGTATCAGGTGACGAATCCCTAAAATAAAGAATAAATTGCGTGGTCAGAGATTTTCATCACCTGAAGAAGCTGTGGACGCCTACAAAACGGCCATTTTGGAGACCCAAACTTCCGAATGGAATGGTTGCTTCAATGATTGGTTTCGTGTATGGAAAAATGTGTCAAATTTCGCGGAGAATACTTTAAAAACCAATAAATACATTTTTAAATAGTAATGTTCTTTCACTTCCTTGATTCCCGAAATTTTCAGTGCCGCCCTCGTATACTAGTAACATGGAGCAATAAATAAAGAATTGGAATTTGCCTATTGACATATGCACTTATTATGAGCAGCCAAAACGCAATAGATGAGACGGCACGATCCCCTATCGGCACTCTTGTCGCTAGAAAGCGATTTCTTCCAGACAACTTGAGGACATCGGTAGATAAGGGGTTATCATTTTCGCTAAAAACTTTTATGTTGACACCAATTAACTATGAGCTATGATGAGGTCTATTTTCGCTAAGGAAATGGCATGGTAGGTAAGAGGATTTCGATAAGGAATTTTTCTTCTTCCTTTTATAGTTGAATGTGCCCGTAAATAAAACCTATAATAGCCTCGAATAAAACTTGATCTGTCGCGTTTCACTTCAGCTGCAGTCGTAACTAAATTAGGGTCAACTCGGGACGCGCCTAACTAACTTACGTCACTCTCGGTTTAACCGCATCTTGCAGAAACTTTTATTTCCTTAACCGGTTTATAAAAAGTGTTGTGGAATAACGTTAAAGTGGCTTGTGCAGGATTTAAGGGCTCTTTCAAATTAAACATATAATTGGTGTAAAGCTTTATATTCAGATAGTAAATAAGTCAATTAACACTGTTTGTTTTCCGAATAAAGTAAAATAAAATAAAATAAATAAATAAAATAAACAATTGAAGGGGTGAGTGGACAAATGTGTTATCTGACAACACTGAAGAATCGACTTTTTTGCATGAACATAGGTTTTAAGTGATGATAAAATCGACTTATGAGCTCAAAACAAGCAATTTTGTTAAGTGTCAAACCTTAACAAAGGTGTTATCTGACAAGCATTCATACATTTCAGGATTCAAATGTGGTATGAGCAAATTAACATTTTCAAACACTCATAACTCATTTGAAATGTTAGTTAAGACCTTTGTCCACTCACCCCTCCAATTTTCAAAGTTATCCTGCTCAAATTTTGCAAGATCGAACACTTTTTTGTTCGTCAGGAAATGCATGAAATTGCATACCCACTGGCCCGGGGGGACCAGTGGGTTATGTGAGGCTCTCCCTGCCAGATGGGCAGGGCCTACTCACTAAAACCTGACGGTATCCTCCCAAAGTCTTTGGGACGGAACTGCGAGTTATTATCCGAGCTTGACGGCCTAGACATTCTTACTTAGGCTGAGTTGCAAGTAACTTTAACAGTAACCTTGTAGATAACCGGCGTTTTTTGTATGGTGTTTGAGAGATTTTTGACGTTTGTCAAAGTTAAAGTAAGATGGTGCAACCCAGCCTAACTGTTACTTATTTTTATTACTCCAACATACCTAGTTGTCATACAATTTTTAGTGTTCGGTTCCGCAAACGGATGGCCAATCCCGCATAGTGTAACTGCGCCATAACTTTCGGCGCATAGAGCACGTGAATGTCTTATTCGAAAAACCCATAAGCGTGACATAATTTCTGAGAGATTACATAAACAACACTACATTCTTGACACGCGCTTTTTATCATCGTCTTGGATCCAAAGGTCAAGAACCCATTCAGCCACTTGCCGTTTTAGTTTGGTTCGCATTTTGTACTAACAAATAGTCTAAAATACCATTTAGGGAAGAGGGCTAAGATTTTTCACAGTTACGTAAAAATTCACTGTCCCACACAGTAAAATAGTGTTTTTATAACTCCTGTCTCCATTCCTAGTTCTGTT